CATAGCGGTTTTGTTTTTTGAGAGGGGGGGTATTATGGACCTCCCTTGGGGTAACTATAGAAATAATTGGGGATAGTAGTGACACTTGATCTCTGTGTATTATAAGGGGCCTTTTAACCCCGCAGCGGAGCGCGAGTATTTTATGTTAGTGCTAATAATGCATTTTGGCTACACTCTTTTACTAAGGAGGTAAGTGTATAATTAACAGATTAATGACACCGAATAATTAAACTTAATACAATAACAATTAATTCCACTATAAGTTTGCTCAGAGTAAAGACATATTAGTCACTAAATCAAATCTCACGATTTACAGTATATGTCCCTAATATATTACTACAGACTTACTTTCCATCATGGTGTCACCGTGTCCCGAATGTGAAATAAAACAAAAATAAAATTGTTACACATAACCAACAGTCTGTTTCAGCTTTGTTTTCCTATCCGGATTTAACATTAATGAGCATCTCGGTTGTCTGTTTGTTTTGTTGTTAAGCGCAAAGCTACAAAATAGACTAACTGTACTGTGCTCACCACAGGGATCGAAGCCTGATTTTAGCCTTATAAGCTTTCAAACTTACCGCTGAAACGTGAAGGAGGAAGCACATTTGAGGATATGTTATAGTAATTAAAATTAACGTGATCTGATAATTATAATTTATTATCTTCAAGATAATAAAAAGCGAATAACCAGGAAGTTGTTTAGAAATTAATTTTCGTATGCAAGTAAAAGTATTCAGAAGCATATTTCAAAATAATCTGTCTTATTTTTCATGTTTTAATTTTCAGCGTGAGTACAAATTATAATAAAAATGTGTTCAAGAAATTCACTACACAAATTTTCCTCAAAAGTACTTGCAAGAATCCATCATACCATCCAGGAAAAATTAAAATGAGAAAAAAATATCCGCAAGATGTCGCTGCTGAGCTATAAATTTTTTTGAAATTCGGGTAAGAAACCCAAGAAAGTCCTAGCAAAAGTATGGTGAAAATAATCGGTGGGAAAAGGTATTTTTTACCTTTCAATAACATATTACCATTGCTCTATATTTGTTATACGTCATTTGTTACTGAAAGTTTGTAACTTGTAATTGTTGTTTACTGTTACCTTATGTCATTGTCATACGATAAGTTTCTAGGACGTCATACTTATCATTGGTTCTCGAATTTTTCCTAATTGTAACAGTAGTTTATGCTTCGTTTTTACACTTAATAAATGTTTTAAGCTATAGTGATTCATTGATTTAACACTTGATTCAATGTTAAGTCGCTTGAGTGATTATTATTTGCAAACTACATGTGTAACAGTTTGTATGTTTGTTTGTTAGCCGCACAATGGACCGTCTGCGTTCTGTAGTGTAAAAACAGAAAGTTTTGAGGACAAGAAACAAACAAAAACAAAACACGCTGGACCAGGGTCTATTTGTTATATATATATATAACTATTTTTGTTTGTTTGCTGTTAAGCACAAAGCTACACAATGGGCTATCTGTGCGGTGCCCACCGCCACGACTATTGAAACCTAAATTTTAGCGGTGTGTTTTTTTTGGTTCTGTTTTTGCATAACCTAATGGTAACCGTGTCAGGATGAGGATCGAAGGGTCAAGTGTTCAAGACGTTTATTTGTTTGAAAGTAAGCGCAAAGCTACACAATGGGCTATCTGCGCTCTATCTAAACCCGGTTTCTAGCGTTGTAAGTCCGCAGACATACCGCTGGGCCACTGGGGGGGGGGGGGGGGTCAAGAGCGTGATACCTCTGAATGCGCTCCACGCTTTTAGCTCTAAGCGCATAATAAAAGTAACAGGAAATCCCGTTTTTGGTCTAAACGGCAAGTGCTGCTGACTGATTGCCTTCACTCTGGTCATTGGCTCAAAACTATGGACGTCTGCTCCTGAATCTTAGAGTCAGACTCTTACTTGGTTCTTTTAGCGTACACGTGCAGATTAAGTTTCGTTCAGATTAAGAACTCCAAGTCCAATCAGATCAATATTTATACAAATCCACCTATAGGTTTGAAATTGTATTTTTCCTTTTCAAATTCCGGAGTCAAGTAATTAAAGAGTTTTAGCCATTTGTCAACTTACTCGTACTTTGTCAACACCACAACTCAAGGATAATTCGCCCACGCCCTGTCGTTCCTATTCTTTTCGCGGTAGGCCTTCAAAACACAATAGACTTTTAATTAGCTAAAAGATACGGACAATTAATAGCCGAAATCTGACTGTGTCCTTTTCTGTAAAGTGTATTCTCGGGTAACCTAGGCTGGACAGAAACAATTAAATCGCTTTTAGTAAGTTTAATTAATATGCAACTTTTTTTTTCTTCTGTCAAACAGGACTATAGCTATAATTCGCTGCTGTGTCACTGTTATTTTAGTATTTACGCTATACACGTGATGCACCTGCTATACAGCGTTTGCCTGGAGTTTTTTTTTTTAACTTCTATTATTTGAGTCCTTATGAGCTGGCGCTCGTCTGTCAAACACTGAAAGGTATAAAAAAGTAAAATGCAAATGCCACAATGAGAAAGTATGAAACATTCCGACAAAATTACAATCTTGTGTGAATGAATTTCAAAAGCACTGGCCTCGTAACGCATTCACCCTAACAACCAGGAATTCAAAGTTTGAATAATTTCCTCGTTATCAACACTGGTGAAGTCATCTATTGCTATTCAGAGTGGGTTGAGTAGCCTCTAACACAGGTGTTTTCTCGTGTTGTGTATCAAGCAGTAATTGTAAAGTGTGTGAAAGGAAGGAAGCAGTATACTTTTAAATGCCAGATGTGAAGAAACTACAATGGTGTAGGACATGCAGGTTTTACAATGAAAGATTGAAAGTACAAGGAGCTGCTAAAAGAAAGGCAGCACAATCTAGGGGGTCCAGGTGCATGCCCCCAGAAAATTAATATATTGATATAATTTACAATCACTAAAGACACTAGACATTAGTAATATTAATATACTGGAGGAGGTTAGTGCCTCAAGGACACTAGACATTAGTAATAATAATATACTAGAGGAGGTTGGTGCCTCAAGGACACTAGTCGTTAGTAATAATAATAATATACTAGAGGAGGTTGGTGCCTCAAGGATTCTAGACATTAGTAATAATAATAATATATTAGAGGAAGTTGGTATCTCAAGGACACTATACATTAATAATAATAATAATAATATACTAGAAGAGGTTGGTGC